CCCCGGCCTCTCCCGCAGCTTAGCCTCCCACTCGGCAATGACTACTCGAAGCGCGGCCATGTTCTTCGATGATGGGTTGAGCACCGCCGCCTTGCCGACGGGGATCAGCCGCTGCTCGAGCATGTCGCGCCACTGCTGCCGCTTGCTGGGGGTGGGGGTGGCGAGGGACGGGGCGAGCTCGGCGATGGCGTCGAGGGTGGCCTCGCTCTCCGCCACAGGCTGGCCGTCGATGACGAGTACGGGCACCAGGCCCTGCCATTACAGACAGACAGACAGACAGAGGGAATGAACGAACGCATGTGTGTGTGTGTGTGTGTTGGTACCTTTGGGTTGAGGTCTAGAAACCACTTTGGCTTGCCCCCCGCGCCATAGAGTGAGACCTCTGTCAGCTTGTAAGGCAGGCCCGCCTCCTCCAGAGCGATCCAGGTGCGCTGGGCGAAGGGGCACATCTTGTTTGTCACGAAATGGATGGATGACGGCCGCCCCTGTTGCCCGCGGTTTACGACCTGCAGACAGACACACACATATACAAGAAGAGGGAGAGAGAGAGAAGACATACGCTTCATGCCCGTGAAGACACTCCCTCGGCACGCACACATCTGTTGACGAACGAGCCATGAGTGAGTCATTCCACTCCCGCCCTCGTCCCAATGGACCCACACACACACACAAAACTGTCCATTGCTGCGCAATGCATCGACTGCTGTCCAAAACGGCAAAAAGCCCCCAACTCCCTCATACACACACGCGCACTCATGCCTTCACAGCAGCCCATTATGGGCTCTGTCCACATCGCCCAAGAACCTCCCCATCTCCTCAGCGAGCGACCACCCCCCTTTGCCCATGTAGAACCCGCAATGCCCTCCCTTCTCGGTATACACGAGCCGCACCGGCGCGCCGACGTCATCGGTGTGCTGCTTGGCCACGTGGTCGACGTGACGCTCCTGTGGAAGCGACTCATCGTCAACGAATGGGTCGTCCCGCGCGTTGATGGCCATGTAGGGGGTGCGGATGAAGGGCAGGTGCGGCTTGGACGCCGATTTCATGTAGTAGTCCTTCTTGTCAGCAAAGCCGAAGATGGGGGCGATGAAGTGGCGATCGAACTCGCCGATGGTCTTGGCCTCGCGGACGCCATCGAGGTTGAACGACCCAGGGAACCTGACACGCACAAGAAACCCATGGATGCCTGCGCCCATTTTGTGTGCGAGAGGGCGTTTGTCTCACCTCTGATGGTGAGTTTCGGCCTTCACTTTGAGAGTGCGAAGAAAGTTCCCGGTGTAAACCAGACGCGAGAAGCCAGGGGAGTCGATCTTGGGCTGGGCTGCCAATGGATCGAACGGCACGCAGGCCACCGCGGCGCCCCTGACGCCTTTGACCGCATAGGCCTCCTCTCCCATGGAACCAAGCCACTTGGTGATCACGTTGCCGCCAAGCGAGAAGCCAGCGAGAAACAGTGGCCGCGAGGGAGTGATGTGACGGAACCGCTCGACGAGGAACTGCAGATCCTCCGTGAAGCCCACATTGTATGCGCGGACCTAAACACAAGGCATCAGGCGAGAGTGGTCAGAATGTGTGTATGTGCAAACGGTTTCTCGCGTCAGGACTGCTCACCGTTCTCGGCAACTCGCCGGAGCAAGATCGGAAGTTGACCAGACAAACGTCGAAGTTCCTCGCGTGGAAGGCACGGGCCATCTTGAGACAGAGAGGGCTCCTCGAGTTGCTTTCCAGGCCATGCAGCACCAGCACAAGCGGGTCGCTGGTCGACGGCTTCTCGACACGCCCCTCCGCCACACAGCGGTGCAGCTCATGGGCACGGTCACCATCCCAGTAGTAAAAGTCCATGTCGATGAAATCGCCGTCCGGCGTGTCCACACGCGCCCGAACAAGGTCGTCGATGAAGGGCCACTGGCTGTGCCGACCGAACAGCCGAGTGCGGACGGATTCTGAGCCGAAGATGGTCTGGATGTGCTGGTTCCGCGCCCATAGTGGAGGGATGAAGGGCACTGGCTCGAAGGACTTGGCCACTGCGACGCGTTGGGAGAGCGGGAGGGAGGGGAGGGCGGCAGAAGAGGCCTGACAGGGAACACACAAACAGACACGACGTGACATGCTCGTCTCACTCCTCCTCCAAATGCTGTCCTTACCTCTGCAGTTGTGGGTGGGAGGTTGTCTTGGCTCACTTGCTGAGGGAGCAAGGCATTGCAGGCGCCAAACACCGGGTCAACAGACAACAGAGAAGCAGTACAAGAGCAGCACTCGCCGCAGATCAGTCACCACACGAAGCCATACACGCGCATCCACAGCACCACCATGAACGAGCACACCGTCCCCCCCTCACCAACCCACCCACCTGTGTCATTGCAGATCTTGTGCTCATCCAGATCTTCAGACTTCCCCTGGGATGAGCTGCTGGCGAGGAGAGGAAGGAAACAACAACACGTGACGCCTGTGACGTCAAGATGGATGCAAGGCAAACCAAAAGGAGGCGAAGCAGAAGGGCCGGTGGAAGGGGCCGCATCGAGATGCCCTCGAGAGAAAGCTCGCAATCCGTGGCCAGGACAGTCGAGCGCGCGAGTTTTTTCTGCGCGTTTGTCGCTCTCTGCGTCCATCCGGGGAGAGATCTTTCCGCAGCTGAGTGCACACTCCGTTCGCAGACCCTTAGCGATGATGATGGGTCGTTCCGGCCTTGCCGCCATCGTGTTGGTTGGCCTGGCTGCCGTCATACAGCCTCTCCTCGCCCATGGCCGACGTAAGCCGCACCACTACACCACCAGCACCTCCACACACCGAATGAATGGACCTCCTATCGTGGCAGATCTGTCCATATTTGTGTGGTTTCTGCTGTTGTTGCGATATGGACATTGGGTGGCTGATCTATGGCTGCAGAGACGTCGGCGGAAGCTCAAGCTCTTGGGCAAGGTAGGCAGACCGCCCATCTCTCCATCCATCCATCCATCCATCCATCCAGCTGTATCGCAATGGCATCGGATGTGTGTGTGTGTGTTGTGTCGAATGTGAGCGAGAGCGACTTGGGGAGGGGAAGAGGTACGCCTCTTTGTGCACAAGTGTGTCCGTGTATGTGTGTTTGGAGGCGCGATCACCGAAGCACAAGAACGGGATCATATGATCCCATCCCGTTTGTGTGTGGTTGTCGACACGCGCGCAGGTGGTGGCCCCTGTCCCGCTCGACGAGTAGCGAGAATGTCATGCTGGATCCCTCACACTGGCACACTTACAGGTGGGTGAGAAGGGGTGGGGACACACATGCACGCGCACACGCGCACAACAGAGGCAGATCAGATCCATCGTACGTGTGTATTCACGAGTATCTATCGATTTGTGTGTCCGTGTCGGTGTGGACGGGATGGGTGTGCAGTGACTCTAATTTGCTCAAGCCGTCCATCCGCCACTCCCACAGCCATGTGGAGCACCACAGAGAGAGAGCAGACTCCGAGAAGAGGTACACACATAGACACACGGCACACACATATGGATGTGTGTGTGTGTGTGTGTGCAGGTCTGGTGCATGGCTGGGGAGGGGGGAAGGGGTGGCAGTACTGGAAGACGGAGATACTCAGCGGCCTCATTGTGTGCTTCGCACAGGTGCACACCCACACCCACCCACACGCACTCACATGGGTACTGATGTGTGTGTGTGTGTGTGTGCGCAGGTGCCCGAGACGATGGCCTTCTCCCTCATGGCCAATCTCGACCCCTCGGTAGCCACACACCCTGACAGACCCCCCCCCCCCACACACACACACGACACACGTTGATGGTATGTGTGCATGTGTAGGTGGGCCTCCACGCGACATGGATTGTGGGCCTCTTCGCCACGGCTCTCGGCAACAGAAATGGTGTGGGTACACACACACACACACACACATACTGACAGAAATGAATGTGTGTGTGTGTGTGTGCAGGTCTGATTAGCGGTGTCACTGGGGCGGTTGCAGCTCATTCAGACAGACAGACAGACAGAGTGCACAGATGCGTGTCGGCTGTGGCGTGGTTGGGTGCAGCGCAACAGTGGTGTCGACGTACATCAAGAAGGAGTGTCGGTCGGGTCGGTCGGTCGGTGGCTGATGGGGGTGGGCCGACACACACACACGCACGAACGCACAGAGAGAGAAAGAGAAATGCGTGTGTTTGTGTGTGTGTGTGTGTGAATGGATGCCTGCATAGAGCGTGCCTGCATGCCTTGTGTGACTCTTGTGTGTGCCTTCATCTCCGTGTTCGTGCGTTGATATTCTGTGTATCTAGCTGCTGGATGGACAGATGGATGGATGTACCCATTGCCGGCCATGCGCGTGTCAGTCAATCCATTAAATCGTCTTTTGTCTATCATATCCCGATATACAGGCAAAAAGCTAATGGAATCAGTCAGTGAGTCGGTCAGCGCACACACACTAGACAGACAGACAGACAGACAGACAAGCAAGCAACGCCACACGCACGCCACGTACGACTCATAGACAGGCAGGCAGAAACGTCACACACACTTCCCTCCGTCCCTCCCCTCGGCGTCTTATGTCAGCTGAATGCCAATACCCGTGCCACCAGCTGCCGTAGTAGCAGCAGCACCGCCACCACCGCCGAGTGCTGGGGCCGACTGATGGAGGGGCATGGGCAGCGGCGGCGGCACCTGCTGCGCTGTCAGTCCCACGGTCAGAGGAGCAGGTACGTGGATAGCAGCAGGTACCCCTATTAGAGCCGGAGGAGGTGCGGGAGCTTGTTGTTGGGGCTGCGGGTACATAAAGACTAACTAAGGATCGGGTGGGCAGATCCCCGCCAGGATCCCCATCATGCACGCACCGAAGGCGGTACCAGCACCCGCAAAAACAGCGAAGATTGCACTAGTCCAAAGCTCCATCGTCCGCTCGCGGACTTCTTCGGCTGTTTTGCCTTTCGTTGACTGCTCATCCAGCCGGAACCACTTGATCAGCTCGATTGCGAACCACACAAAGGCCGCCACGGTGATGACGCCACAGCAGCACTGCTTGATAATGACAATCGGCGCTGGGGTCTGACAAAGGGTAGACAAACGACATCGACAGTCACTGCAGAGGGGAATGAATATCAGTGACTTCGTGTGTGCTGCCTACCAGATTGCTCAGGCGGCTGTCCCGGATCTCAATGGCTATATTTCTGATATGATGGTAGCTGTTCCTATACCGCCAGACCGCGCGCAACTCAGCGGGCTCCAAGCGATACCAAGGCACATAGTTGGGTGGTTGAAAGCCCCAATTCACGAGCACCCGCCGCACCTGCAGTCTCTTTCGAAGACACCATGACGTCAGACAGCGCCTCAGAGGTCCGCCCAGAGGCCTCAAACACCATATCACACAGCCGCATAGTGAAGCGCATCGTGCTCCACACCAGCCGCATAGTGCTGCACAGCAGGTCAGTAGTAGTTGACACATCGTGGGTGGCAGTGATGTTGGTGTTGTGGCTCTGAACTGCACCGGAAAAGTGCCGGAAATCTGCGCCAAACACACAGAGGTCGCACACACTGTCATTACTGATGCCAGCAGGCCCTTCTGCCCGCCCTCTCTCACCTCAACGCGTCAGATCAGCGTCGCTCAGTCAGATGGGCGGCGGTATCTGCGCCGATCGATGACATCACGACAGCTCTTTGGGCATCTCCCACACACTCTGCAACGCCACGCTGTCAGCGAAATGCACAAACCACGCGACGAGATCTGCAAAACAAGCTCGCAGACGGATCGCTCCCCTTTTCAAGCGTTGCAGCTCTCAAGCCACCCACTGGAGGGTAAGATGCCAGTCAGAGATGAAGCGGAAGCATCGAACTGCCAAAAACCAGATGCCTTTGGTGTCTGTTGTGTGCATGCAGATCTCTCACGTAAACCACGCCTCTCTGGGACCTTTCCACAGTCACGAGTGATGCAGCCCACTGGTGCAGCGCCTTTGTCCCAGCCCCTCTTCCAGCCCGCCGAGCTCTTTGACCTGTCATTGCCCATCAGCAAGATGGCCGCCATGGCCATGGCGACTGACGATGCCACGCGAGCCGCTCTCCCCTCACAGATCGTCACCCCCACTCGGCAGCAGGAGCTGCTCGGCCACACCTCGGCGACCGTCACCAGCACGCTGCTCAACGGCGCCCAGCGGCACATCGACAAGGCCATCAGGCGTCTCGACTTGGAGGACGTCTTGGCGTTCGACATTGATGGTAACGTGGAGGGCGGCTTGAGGGTCGTCTGGCTGCTGGAGCAGGGCAGCGGTGAGGAGTGGCGAGCGATGGGGCGGTTCCTTCGCGTGGCCTTCATCTATCGGCTGACGCCCAATGCGACTCGGCCCCTTCAGATGTCGGCCGACTCACTGCCCACAGCAACGGCCTTCCACCAGCTGCTCCTCACTATGGCCATCTACTCAACCGTCGGCCGTCAGCTGACATACGGAGGGACCAGCCTGGCGCTGCAGCAGGCCGACGATGGGGCCTATCGGATTGGTAATGTGTCGTTTCGTGTGGTATCTCATGGTGATCTGCCGGGCGGCCATCGCTATGCTGACGGCTACAAGCGGACCGACCCCACCAACCGCTGGGGCAGCGATCTCTTCCCCTCCTTCTCGGCATATCTGCTGACCCGGCTGTTCTGGCAGTGCTGCTATGAAGAGGGGGTGGGCCAGAGAAGGGTGCTGCGGGCAGACATCGGGCGGGGTGACCCTCGCTATGGCCGTCTGCTAACCGAGGGCATCACAGAGGATCAGGGCATCGCTGTCGACTGGCGCTACGACGGGGGCCATCTCAATGCTGCAAACCCGAGTGACTGTCGTCTTGTGATAGTGAGCGGCTTCCGACGCAACGAGACCCTCGCCGCTTACCTGTGGGTGGGGTCGGGGCGCATCGATCTGTACACGACTGAGCCATCTGCTGCTGATGCGCCGGCACCAATCGCCCAGCGCTTCCCCGAGTCGGTCGGTGCCGTCCGCCGTGTGCTGAGGGCTTTCGGTCTCGAGCGTGATGTCATCGACAGGGGGACGGTGGATGTGTGAGGGGTGAGTGCTGGTGACCGGACGGCGATTGGGTGGTGTTGTTGGATTGGATGGGTGGAGAGGGCCTGTCTGTGTGAGCAGTGGTGGAGGGGGACTGAGTGGGTTTGAATGGGCGACGTGACTGATTACATTGTCTGAGTGCCATGGGTGGGTGGACGTCGTGCTCATCTTTGACAGACTCACAAAAATGAGCGAATGATCAGCACACTTCATCGGCAACTGAAAACCCCTTGAGTGCGGTGGTTTGTGTGCTTTGGGGGGCGCTCGATACACATGACCTGATACTTTCACAGGAAGTCACCACACACACACACACACACACACAGAGAGAGAGAGAGAGAGAGTCCATTGCGCAGATGGCCACCCCTTCATTTGTGTGGCTGCGAAGAAAGGGTTGTTCTGTTGATAAAGGGCTGCACTGAGACAGCAGTTTACTGATGGAGGGAGCCTTTCCCTCTTCACACGTGCGTGTGTATGCGTGTCAACGTCCGATGCTGTTCGGTTCGGGTGTGTGGGGGAGTGCTTATCTGTGTGCGCATCTGACGGATACATCGATTCATTGCATAACCATAAGGCGTTTCGTCAATCACATGGACGGCAGGCAGTCAAGGAGCGGCACACAGCGACCAGTGTTTGTTTCCTAGTCATACGTGCAGCCGGGGAAGCGCCACAACACCGTGTTCCCCAGGCGAAACCCCAGCACTCTCATCACGACAGTGCGAGTCTGGTCGTGGGGCGCCGACTCGGTCGTGAAGATCTCAACAGAGCGATAGTCTCCCACCCCATCTGCCAGCAGAACAGCTGCCACCTGCCCCTCGCCCATCGCCTCACTGCCAAGCACCACCAGCCGATAACGCCATCCACTCTCCCTCTTCGTGTCAACCACCGTCGCCCCCCACTGCCCCGCATCGCTGGGAGAGGCCGCGAGCAGCTCACTCACACGCCGGGATGCAGCAGAATCACGACGGTGAGTCGCCCAGGCTCTGATCCGCTTGATGTGGCCGCTGGTGATCAGCCAGCGGAACAGCTCGAAGGCCACCATGGACGTGTAGTTGGGGTACGCCCCGCCGGCCAGCTGTGTGTGCGGGTCGGTGAGGTCGAATGGTGCATGACGAAAGAGGGGGCTGGCCGAGCTGAGGAGGGTGGGGACATAGTAGGTTGAGCGAATGCCGCAGCAGAAATTCTTATCGCCGTCCATCAGGTGTCTCTGATAGTAATCAAAGTGGCCCTCGAGCTGAGTATCTTCCACTGGCGGACCGCCTCCGTCTCACTCATGAAGGCCGCCCGGCTGCCGAAGACACCGAAGTTGTCATCACCCAGCACCAGTGGCCTCTTGCCTCTCAGCACATACAGCATCTCCAGCACAGGTTTCCATCTGGCCCACTTGCCGCCCCTCTCCAATCCACAGCCGCCGGCTAAGCTGTTCGATGAGGGCCCTGGTCAGGGCCACCGTGACGGCCACACCCTGGCTGAGCTGGGGGATGGGCACCTCCACCAACACACAAAGGCCGAGTGACGCCACCACAATAGGCAGCAACCGCATCAGGATGGGCAGCACGACGTCAGGCGTCAGGGACACAGCCCGCACAGGGGAGATGGGCGGCCGGCGGTCGATGTCGATGAGGCGGAAGTAGGCCAGCTGTGAGTAGCTCGTCACGTGTTGGGCGATCCTCGGCATCAACGTCGCGACGCCCAACACGCCGCTGAGAGTGGTGTCCTGGTGGTGGTGGAGCTGCTGCTGCTGTGACGATGCACTGCTGGCACCTACAACACAATCACACACACACACACACACAGCTGCGTGCCTGCATGATTGTGCCATTTTGCAGTGACAGTGTTGCTTACCATTGGCAGCAGCCGACGCAGCAGATGAAGATGGATCGTCGGTAGAGGCAGCAGCTCCTTCACGAGCAGCAGCCGACATCTGCACACCTGCAAACAAACACAGGACGAACATCATATCAGTGAATGCGATGAGTGTCGCCTCATCGATCTGTGAGCCTCCGAGTGGCTTGTCTTTCGCTTGCAGTACCTCAGTTGGCTCCTCGGCTGCCTTTGACTGTCGCTCTGTTGCTGGACGCCATAAAAGTGCCGGAAATCTGAGACAAACACACAGAGGTCGAACAGACTGTCATTGCTGATGCCATCAGCCCCTCCTGCCCACCCTCTCTCACCTCAATGCGTCAGATCAGCGTCACTCAGAGAGAAGTGGCAAAGCGCGTGCGATCGATGACATCACGACAGCTCTTTGGGCATCTCCCACACACCCTGCAACGCCCCGCTGTCGCAAAACACGAGAGAGAGCGGGGCCTGCTGCCTGCAGCCCAAGCTCGCAGATCGGCGAAGGGAGCCGAAGCCCCTGGAGCTCTCAAGCCACTCACTGCAGGGTAGGGTGGCAGTCAGAGAGGCAGGAGAAGCCACTACATGCTGCAAACAGCGGCATCTTCGTTGTTGTGTTCGTGCAGATCTCTCGTTCGTCACCCCCCATCAACAGCCACGAAGTTCGTCAGCCACTCGATGACGATGACACACACTCTGCACACACCGAACACACACATACACACACACGCAGAGGGAGAGAGAGAGGCCACCTCACTCACCGACACAGGTGCCCTTGTCAGGGTGGCAGAAAGGTGTGGGCCAGCGGCACTGCTCGTCGCGCGAGCATGACGGCTCGATTGTGGATTCTAAACAGGCAACCAATGCATGTGTGTGAGTGTGCTCAGAGAGAGAGAGAGAGAGAGAGGCTGCTTACCGGCGCATCGAATATGGATGTCGTCCCACTTGACGGTGCGGTAGTCGGCCCGGAAGCGACACAACAGGTCCTCCTGCCCACCATGACTGTGCACACAAACAAAACACCCACACACACAGAGAGATGCAATCAGTGAGTGAGCGTCTGCATGGATTGCAAGATGCTCCACCGACCCTGGTTTAGCCTGGTATCCCCTCTGTGTGTCGCACGCCACAGACACGGTGTCCCCCGCCATGAAGGAGCGGTCAGAGGAGCTGACGCACACACACATACACACAGAGAGAGAGAGAGAGAGGGACATGGGGGGCACACAGAGTGTGTGTGTGTGTGTGGCTGCAGCGTACGTGTGGTTGATGGCAACGACGCCCTGGAGAGTGCCGTTGTCGAGTGTGGAGAAGGGGAACGCCGGACAGGCAACTGCACACACACACACACACACACACAGAGGGGTGCAGACGTGTGTGTCCACGCTCAGCCACATACCAGCCGGCCTTGCGAGGACGTTCATGCAGAGCGTCCCGAGGTTGTCGCGGTGGTTCCACTGGTGCAGCGCCTCACCTGATCCCCCACGCACACACACACACATGGGTCTACACGTCTGTGGTGTGATCAGGGATGGGATACCGAGCCACACGCGCCATTTGGTGCTGCGGTCGATTGTGGGGGTTGAGGGGCCGCTGTGCGTCTGAACGAATCCCTTTCTTGTGTGGCTGTGTGTCTGCGTCAGGCGCTGTGCTGTGCTGTTTGCGGGCTTACGTCGAAAGTGATGTGCTGATCCTTCCAGTGCTGTCCGCTGACAGTGTACCAGGCCTCCCCGCACTCACGGCCCACACAGTGAGACGGCACACGAACTGCATGAAAGAGCCACACACACACACACACACACAGAGAGAGAGAGAGAGGGATGCATGGCTCAGTCGCTCACACACACACGGACTTACCAGGTTCGCGTGAGCGTGTGGGCACACAGACGGGCCCCTGGTTGTTGAGCTGAAGCCACGGCTGGCACATCGAAGTCACGCCGTCACACGACTCGGTGGAGGGGCAGTCACTCTCGACCACACAACCTTCCCCCAGCACACACACACACGGGGAGGGAGGGAGCAGACGGCCCATGGACGGATCTCTTTGTGTGCCGGAAGGCGGTGGGGGGAGGACACTCAGACTTGTACATATTGCATAGAAGTCACCCACCCGTCCCGTGTACATAGCATGCTGGTTGGCGAGATTGAAAAACATTTGGGCTGACTGACTGACTGGCTGATTGATTGATTGACTGGCAAACATGGGTAAACATGGATCATACGCCCGCACGCTCCGACAATCAGCGCATTGAGCGACAAGTCTACACACACACACACACACACACACACACAGAGAGAGCACATGAGGATGCGATGCGCTCGTCGCATGTATCTGCCTGTACAAGGGCAGTGCGCCCGTCGTGTGTTCGTTTGCTTACTTATACGGCAGGTTTGTGGTCTCATTGCCGCGTACTTGAGCTGAGCAGGGGCACGCTGGAGCTTGCTGTCAGGATTGCCAGCTTGGCAAGACGAACCACTGCGAGCTTGTGAGCTAGGGTAGATTGCTGTGCAACGGAGAGAGAGAGGAGAAGACAAGGAAAGACAAGGAAAGCATTCTGAGGAGACACGATCTTATCAGCCATCACCGAAGTGAGATCTGTGTTGACCACCCTTCATGATGCCATACATGG